GTCTTTTGGCATGTGAGCGCTTGGCATAGACGCCAGGAAGCTCGCCTTCCTTGCCTGCGGCCGCGGGCGTGCGGGCGGGCACGCCAGGCTCGGCGACGCTCCGCGCGGGTCTTCGAGCTCGCGGCCCGCGACGAGCCAGCATGGCTCGTCGCTCGACGGGAGCCTGCCCAGCATGCTCTCGGCACTCTGTACAGCCTCGACAAGCTGTCTGGGAAGGCCGACAGGGCCAGGGCGGGCCGTCTCGGGCGCGATGGCGCGCTGACGATACTAGCATGACAACGAGCTCTCGATCGGGTCGCCGGCAGCGGGCTTGCGTGGCGCGCTGCTCGACGGCAGGCTGCTCTCCAACCTTTCAACAGTGTCTTTTACCTCGCTCCTCTCGCTGCAACCGCCTGCGGGGGCCGGCGCCGGCCGCCTCGCTTCGCCAGCGCTGCCTTGCCGCGAGGCCTGCTCCGCCTCCGAGGAGCCCAGAGCCCGTATATAAACTGATAATGCGAGCAAGTGCATCTCTCCTTTGTTTGCACTATGACCTGTCCGCTGTCGCGCTGCTTCCCCGAGTATCGGATGGGCACCTTCAGGCCAATGCACGAGGGGGTCTGTCAGTGGAAACCACTTCACAGCTATGCCTTGCTCCTTTAGGTGCTCTTAGTATGTTCTGACTCATCCGTCCCTGACTGCCTGAGTACACTCCCTTCCTATTGTCTTGTACTCGGCGTCCTGTGGGTGTGTTCACAGTCTTGTGTGAATTTCGGCGTCCGCCGAAGTTCAAGGTCCGTCGGTCTCTTTTGACCGCGGCGTTAGAGAGAGTCTTTGCTTGTCATGCCTTTTGCCTTCTCTCTGGCGCTCCCGCTCCTGGCCGGTGTGATTACACCGACAACAGCCGTGAATTCACGCTACATGTTAAGGCATCCCGCCTTCCCGCCACGTCTCGCTCGCGTTCTGCCAGGTCTCTGCCCGCAGTTGCTGCTGCTCACGCTCTCGCCGCGCGGGAGCTATCAAACGGCCACGATGGCACCACCTGCTCCAGCGCCCTACCGTCTTTCAAGCAAGTGGCTCCTCCTCCTTTCCGCCTGCGTGCAGAACGCCTCCTGCACGGGCCTCCTCTTTGGCTTCGCAGCGCTGCGGCCTCTGCTCCTCTCGCTCGACGGAAGCTGCGACGAGTCCGTCTCGCGGGCCTTTACGCTCGCCGTCACCGTCAACATGCTGGCGCCTCTCCTCCTCGCCGGACCGCTGCTCGACGTGTGCGGCCCGCGGGCCTGCTCCTGCGCCTGCACCGGCCTCGTCGGCGCCGGGTTCCTCCTGTTTGGCCTCTCGCCCTCCTTGCCTGGCGGCGCGGGCGCAGCCTACGTCCTGCCTTCGATGCTGCTAATCGGCGCCGGCGGGCCCGGCTGCCAGCTGTGCCTCTTCCACACAGCGAACCTGTTTGCGGCGCGCGGCATGGTTATGAACCTCATCACCGCCTCGATCGGCGCCTCCTTCGTCACGTTTGAGCTTCTGGCGCGGCTCAGCTCACCGGCGGAAGAGGTCTCGCTGCAGCGCGCCTTCCTCGGCTACTCGCTCCTCCCGCTCGCCTGCACCTGCGTCAGCGCAGTCACCATGCCCGACTCGCCCTTTGACGCCAGGGTGGCCGACGGCGGCGCCGGCGCCACGGCGAGGCGGTCGCTTGCGTCTCGAGGCGGCGGAGGCGGTGGCGCAGAGGACAACGAGGTCGCCTCAACTCCGCCGCCCGAGACGCCGGCTCGGCCTTCTCCTCGGTCCTCCGCTCGTCGGGCTTCCGCCTCTGTGCGCGCCATCTCCCGCGGCGCCGCGCGAAGCCCGACGGCCCCGCTCCTCGGGACTTGCTCCTCCCTGACACGTGCCTAGAGCCCGTCTGCAGGCGCGGCGCGGCCGATGGTCTTCATCCTGCGCAAGAGGTCCTCTCACAGGCCAGCCCTGCGCTCCGGACAGCTGAGCGAGCCGCTCCTCGGCCCGGCCCGTGCGGCGTGCGATCTCCGCGCAGAGTTGGACACGGACGGCGACGCGGCCACAGGCGGCGGCAAGGTGGGCAATGGCGGCGCGGGATACGGCGGCAAGGTGGGCGGCGGCAGCGGCGGCGGTGGCGGCAGCAGAGGGTGTGCGCAAGGCGAGCTGATCGGAGCGTCGCTCCGCAGGCAGCTGCTCTCTGCGCCGTTCGCCGAGGTTTCTGCGTCGTTCGCGACGAGCGCGCTTTTCTACCAAACTTTCCTCGGCAGCTTGGGCGAGCAGGCGCAGGCGACGATCCGGCAGCGGCAGCCGCTGCTCAGCGACGAGGAGGCGTCCGCACTCGCCGCCTCGTACGTCTCGACCTTCCTCTCCCTTGCCCCCCTCGGTGCGCTGCTCAACGCACCGCTCGGCTACTGCATCGACAGACTCGGCTTCGAGCCGATGCTCGCGGTCACATTGCTCGCCGGCGCCGGCCACGCGCTCGCCCTGTACTACGGCGCGTTTGCGGCGGGCGCCGCGGCGTTCCTGCTGCTCACCGCCGCCTCCTTCTCGTACATGTACGCCTTCCTCGCCTTCACGTTTGGCTTCGAGTACTACGGGCTTCTCGCGGGCATCGCCCAGTCGGTCGCGAGCGCCGCCACCTTTGCGCTTCAGCCGAGACTCCACGCCGCTGCCGCCGGCCCGGGCGGTTGGCGCCGCGTCCAGCTCGCGCAAGCCGCGGCGTTTGCGTGCCTCGCCGTCGGCATCGTCGGCGGCCGGCTCCTCTGCCGCAGGGCGGGCGCGGCCGGCAGCCCGCAGGCCACCAGCCGGCGCAGCGAGGCGCGGCCGGCGGAACGATCGTACTCGGCCGGCGATTTGCATGCCACGCCGAGCAGCTTGCCGTTCAGACGGAGGCCGGACCTCTTCCCTCACGCCGACGACATCTTGGTGATGGACGGCGCCCTCGCGCACTACTCGCACGCCGCGTACCGGCTCGAGGCGTCGATCGAGTCGCCCGGCCGCGACGGGCGGCAGGGGCAGCAGCTCACGCCGAGGAAGTTTGCGTCGCAGCTCGCTGTGGCCGCGGTGGCGCCGCCTAGCCCATAGTCTCCACTGTAGTGTTGAGTTGTCACTGTCGCTCTCCGAAGCTCCGATGTTGCACGTTTGTGCGAGGCTAGTTCCATTTCACTGTGGCACAGCTCGCGTTACAAAACCTTGATTTTGACCATTGCGCGAAAAAGGTACATCTCGGTGCCTTCCAGAGGCAGCTGCGACCCCGCCGAGTAGACGGCGGCACACAGCAGGTGGCGCGGTGTGACGCCGTCCACTCAGCGGGGTCGCAGCTGCCTCTGCGCGTCCTGGGTATGTACCTTTGTCGCGCGCCGGAGACGACTCGACGCCGCTGAGATCGGAGATCAAGCTCTGACAGGTCGCACGTCGCTCCTTTGACGCCGACGTGACTCACCCGTGCAGATCACATCAGGACACGGTCTCGACGCGCTCGGTACGACGCCTGCGACCCGTATCGGGTCAGGTGGCACGACGCTCATCGCGCCTACCAGCGCTGCCGTGCAGGTTGCCACGACGAGGTCGAGCACGCTTCTATACGCTCGCCGAGCCTTCCTTTCCATCCCATTTGGCAGCCTGGGAACGGTGGCGGTCAGAGGCAAAGCATACGAGGGGTGGTGGAACCACATGTCACGGGTACTGCCGGCTCGACCCCACGATAGCCTCCGGAGGCTGACTTTGAGGCACAATCATCGGACGACGTCGGCGAGTTGAGTCGCGCTCGCGGTAGCCAGATGACCTCTCATACTAGTATCATCGGCCATGGCCGCAGGAAGCGCGGGGGAGGGCGCTGGGAGCAACACGGAGCTCCGTTGGACGTTTTCAAGATTAGCGTGTCAGAGTGAAATGGAACTAGCCCGATTGTGCCCCCCATTCCGGGGGCCCAATCAAAAAAAACTGTTCAGTTTTCAAAGGCAAAACACGACGCTCTGCGGTTGGTGCACCCCTCACACTGACACATTCCCCTCATCCCTTACCCTTGGCTGGGATCGGTGTAAGTAAGAGTGTATTTATGTACCTCGAGGTATGTAAAAGAGGGAAGCAGTCGAGACACCGCGCGATCCGAAGAGAGGACAGTGCGAAGAAATTTGCCCGGATCGGGACCTCTCTGCCCTACGCGCTCAGCGCGGTGATGCACGCACTCATCCTCTGCGCCTACGCTGCGCTAAAGATCTCGCCGCACACGGACCCACATCCGCGCGTCCAGTGCCAGCCTCCATCGACGGAGAGCGTGTAGAGTCTGTAGTACAAAACAGGTGGAGGCAGCGTGACGTTTTGATCCAGTATACTCTAAACTATCTCTAAAGCCGATCTCCGCGTTGCGCGTACCAGACAGGGCGAGGGGCTCCTCAATCCTCTGTGTCACAGCGAGGCATGACGAACTTTTGAGCGCTGCGCTGAGTGCTGTCACTTGACACTTCTCGCTCGCGAGACCGCTCTTACTCGGAATAGCCTCCAAAACAGCACAGGTGTTTGACGGAATCGTAAATTACTTATTGGCCACCAGGCTAGGCGCGAGCCGGCACATACACCACGAATACACCACGTGTAGAGTATCGGAAACACATCACGTCCAAAACGCCGATGACACAACTCTGTGGCGCGTGAGCTGCCCGCGACGAACGTATATTGACTAGCTGGGCGACACTCGCCTGCCGACAGATCCAGCTCACGGCGGTGAAGCGCGCCAGCGTGGCCTCTCAGCTCGCTCATGCCGGCCTCGTTGCCACGGCGAGAAGCGAGTCGCATGACATCCATAATTGACATTGGCGCGAGGCCGGGCAAGGCCCCGCTAGTGGAGCTAGTAGCCGCGCCCAATGTGTGCTCATCAGAATGCTGCTTGTACTCATGCGGAGGAGCTGCTCATGCGAAGAAATCAACATCACGAGCGAGGTGCGCTCGAACCCTAACCGCCGCTCGCGGGCAAGGGCAGAGCCCTCGCCGCGAGCCATCGAGCACTTCGGACTCGCGGCTATGACGAGTCTGTGGCGATGCTTCGACCGCGCGCCACGATGGATTCGTTCGAGCAAGAGATGCTGATCTCCTCTTGGACGAGAGAGTCCGCAAAGAGAGAGCTGCGGCGCGCCAGGGCGCTGTGTCGCGAGGTGCAGACCGAGGCAATGTCGGTCTCCAGAGGCTCGCCGAAGGTCACAGAGCGAGGCGAGGTAGGCGATAGCAAGTCTGATGTGCCAGACGAGAGCAGGGCAGACCCGGGGACGGGGGAGCAGACGGCAGTGCCAGACGAGAGCAGGGCAGACCCGGGGACGGGTGAGCAGACGGCATCGGCCGCCATATAACAATCATCGCGATCTGATGTCCAGAGCAAGGCTGGAACACGACCCGGACACTGAGATTTTTCTTTTTCAAGGAATATAAAAAAACGCCAGCACTCCCGATGATTTGCGCTCTGTCTGAGTCGAGGTGTGTCCGCTCCGCTCCTCTGTGCTCTGAGCTGAGCAACTGCAGGGAGCCCCCCATCGCCCACCCATACCAAACAACTACGCCTTCGGCAACACCGAAGAGAAGGCCCGCCGCCTAAACATGGGCTGCAAGGCGCGCGCATCGCGGTTTCTACCATGATGCGATCTTTGTCAAGCGCAACAACTTTCAACCTGCTGCTCCACGAGACGTTCGGCGGCGGCTTCTCGCCCACCGACCACAAGAAATACCTCGCCCTTCGCAAGAGAGTCAAGCGAGCAAAAAGTCGCCTCACCTGCTCGGCCTCGAGTCGCAGCTTGCCGCCGCCGTGTGGTGGGCAGGATGCCGGCCGGCCGCTCCCGCTGTCGGGCGCATCCGGCGAGACTCGCCTCGCCCCCGGCGCGCCGGCGAGCTGCGAGGGCACCATCCCAACGGCTGCCGTCCCTCGGCTGGCGGCGTGAGAGGCCCCGGGAGGGCTCACCGAGGGCCGGGGCACGCGATGCAGGCACTACCAAGGTCCTGGCGACCGCTCCGCGACCATCTCATCGCATGAGACGACTGCCACAGTCGACGTTTGACGCCCAGAACTCGACGAGACCGCCACACCAACACTCTAACTGAAAGTCGCGCGCGGCAGCGTTGACCGCACGGCCTACTCGCCCAAGTACTCGCTCTCTTTTATGTCCCACCATGCAGAGCGCATCAGAGCGCATCTCTCTCTCTGTTGTGCGAGGCGTGAACCGCGCCATTCGCTCTCACCTGCGACCTGGCAACCCTGTCTGCAGACTGCACGTCTCGCGCGCGCGTGAACAGGGCACAGTGTGTGTGCGCGCGCTAGTCCCGTGAACAGTGATCAGTGTTGTGGCGCGTTTAAATGTATGTAAAATGATGGACGCAAAGATGTGTAGAATAAAATGAACTGCACACACACACGGGGAGGTACACCGTTCCTTCAACCACCAGACTCCAGAGACGTACATGGATGGAGTGTGGTCAGCACTCCGTAACTGGAGGCCACGAGAGACGGCACGTGGGTACTCAGTCCAGAGGTCCAGCTAGCACAGCGCAATCGACCCGCGGCCGACTCAGTCCGAATCATCGTCGTCGTCGAGCACGACTACCTCGCCCGTCGCAGCGGGCGCCGCAGCCTCGCCGCCCTCAAAGTCGCTGTCCGCATCGGGCGGCGGCGGGCGGCGGGCTGGCTTGCTGCGAGCCCGCTTGCTCGACGCGCCGGCGGGAGGGCGCGATCGCTTCGTGGTGGGGCTCGAGGCGCCTCCGCCTGCCCGCGCGAGGCGCGGCAGCTGCGCGGCCGTCGCCGCGTCGAGCTCGAGCGCGGCGGGGAGGGCGGAGAGCGGAGCGGGCTCGGCGCCGCGGCGCAGCTGCGCGGCGAGGGTGGGCGCGAGCACGAGGTAGGCGTTGATCGAGTAGGCCGAGTACGCAAAGTGGAGGCCGAGCGAGCCGTCGAGCACGAGCCGCACGACGAGCTTCTCGAGCAGCCAGCGCCGCCACTCCGCGTTCGGCGCCTCACGGAGCCCCTCGAGCCGCAGCTTGGCCGCCTCGCCGACCAGCTTGAGGGCCGTCAGCTTGGCCGGCGCCGCGCCGCCCTCGCCCTCGACGCTGGCGGCACGGTCGTTGAGCTCGCTCACCAGTCGAAGCACCGCGCGCGCCGCGCCGCCGACGGGCACCGACACGTAGGCCG